TAATAGACATTTTCAGATTTAGTTTATCGTGTACTAGTGAATTCTCTTACTACTCACGTTATAGTTATATTTCTATTATAAAATTTAGAATTAGTTTTATTGTCATGTATAATAAATACATCATAAATCCATAAAAAAAAAAAAAAATATTAGAAATAAAAATAAACAACATGATATGAATAGTATTTTTAGATTATTTACAACAAACCGGTCAAAACTTGCTAATCTGTGAATTATGTATCATACAGTTTGAGGATTCCTGCACGCTACAATATAAACAGTGCCGGATTTAGAACAGGTGCCGCCCTAGGCTCTTTTAAATATGCTGCCCCTACCTCAAGAAAAAAAAATGTAGTGTTTATTTCTTAAATTCATGGATTTACTTCTATGTTTTTTAAATATAGATATTGAATATTATATAATATTAATTTACATGGTTACATAAATGCATAAAATATGTATATGATTTTTTTTCCATTTCTTACAAAATTTACCGCCCTAGCCGGGCCTTACAGGCCTTGGCGTAAATCCGGCCCTGAATACAGGTAATGCTATATTTGTTTAATTTAATAATTAGAATAATCAGTGGTGCCAAGTGAAATTGAATCGGCCAGTTCAAATAATAAGATTAGTCCACCCACCTCATCCTATTTACTTGCCACTGATAATTGTTTTTTTACACATGTTCATAAATAAATATAGGTACCATTTTAAATCAAAATAATTTATTAATATTGTTGAATTTAATAAAATTAAAGCAGAAAAATTTTGTAATTTGCTGTAAGCCAGTATTCTATTATATTACCCACCTATCTTTTTCAAGTTCAATTGAACAACCCAAAAGTTCATGTTTGGAGCCACTAAGCACAATAGCAATATTAAGAGTAATAAAAAAAATCTAATTTCATAATTCAATTACAAATTTGTTAATTTTCAGTTTTCATATTGTTTTAAATGTCAATTATTTTGAATATATAAAAAAATATATGGTATTGTCAATCATACAAAACATTATGAATAAATATCTTAATAGGTTTATTAAGAAATAATATTTTATAGAAGGTAGTTTATTTATATTTTTTAATTAAATCTTATTCTAAATACACAAATTTAATTAATAACATTTAAATTTATAAATATGATTTATTAAAAAAAAAAAAGAAAAAATTATAAACATATTTTTAAGAAATAAAACACTAAATGTTTAAACATAGTGTTAAAATTGTATATTAATAAACATTATTTGTAAAATTGTTTTATTTATCTTAGTACATAAATAATAAAATTTCAATAAATTATCACATCATTACGTCATTTATTAATTATTCACTTTTTTAAGTCGTCTGAATGGTACTATATGAGGTTCTGAAATAAAATAAAAAAGGCAGGATTAAAAATTAAAATACATAGTAATACCATTTGATATTTATAATTCATGTAACCATTAATAATCTTCAACAAAAGTTTATAAAATATTTGAACAAAACATAATAAAATAAACAAATATTTTAAGTATTTTAATTCAATACTTGGTTTATTTTCTAGACACCAGATTTTATTGTTTAAGAATATAGAAGTAGTTTGATAGTATAAAAAATAGTAAAAAAATTTAATGATTTGTTTAGTTAAAGTTACATTAAAACAAAAATTTATAAAACATAAAAATGTATATTTTAGTTGTGAAATGATATTAGAAGAGTTTTGCTTGTTTAAACATATCTATTTCTTATTTTTTTATTTTTTTTATTTCACAAATGCACATACACAATCTATACAATTTTGTACAATAAGCATATAGGGTAAGGGTTATATAACATGGATTTCTTGAATAAGAAGCCATCCATTAGTGACACTTAGTTAGGTATATCTATTTCTTAAAAATTTAATACAATATTTTTTATTTTACAACTTTATTTTTAGATAAACTTTTCAAGAAATGTCTTTTTTTATAAATAAAAAAAAAATTGTAATTAATATAAATATAATGAAAAATTATTGTAATTTAATATGTCAAAATAATTAATTTACTTTTAGAACCATGAAAAAAAAAATAATAATGACCAATTGATTATATCATATCGTTAAATAAAATGAGTGTAATACATGTTATATTTATTTTATTCTATGAAATAAATATTATTATTTTATGTGAGCCGAGTAATTGTTTAACTAAATTATGTTTTTAAACTTAACACCACTTTAACTTATATACATAAATGTATATTATTATTATTTACAAATTTTCTGAAAGGCATATATTATGTTTCTAACAATTTTATAGAATTAAGTAATAAATCTATTCTTGAAGGGTAGAAATTAGATCAAAATACATTATAATATTATTAAAATATACACAATTATATAGGTATGTTTTATTCATTAAAAACAAAAATAATCAATAATTAAATTAATAACTATGCACACCTGGATCATATCTCATGTAATGCATCCAACCAGAAGTCATTTGAATGCCAAGATTTCGCCACTCAGTTTCAGTCATTAAATGAGTCTTAGGTAAGAGTTTGGCCATGTCTTCTGGTAAGATTACATGCCTGTCATAAATAATGATTAAATATAAATATAAATTGACAACAAATCGGTTGAAGATTGTGTTATATTTAATAAACATACCTATAAATATACATATTGTCTTCATATTTTGTTGAATATTGTATGTCTCCTCTAGAAGTCATGTTGACAATTATTGAAATGCAGTTAAGTGTCTGACATTAATTATTAAGTTAACCTAAACTCGATGACACAGCGTTTGAATATTTTTTATATTTTAATAATTTTATAATAAATCACTAATCAAAAGATATCTACCTAAACAAAAAAAATAATAATAGTTCAAATGCAATCTATTGTAGCAAAAAATAAATAAAGTATTAACTAAAAATTTATTATTAAAGTGAAAAACATAACAAACATTTTTAGCGGCAAAATGAATAATGAAAAACTGAAACTCATGACCGTAACTGATAATACCTGAACACGTGTTGTTATTATGGTATCACACTTGTAAAAATTGATAGTATTATCGGATATTTGAAAAAATAATAATTTATGCTTATAACTGCATTAAGATGAGGTTGAAGTTCAAACTATGACCTAGCTACTTACTAATATTATATTAATTATAATAATTATTAATAATTAAAATTTGAAGTATCATTTAGGGTGGTTAATTTTTAATCCTTTATCGTCATGTTACGTTTATTTTATACCAAACCGTTTAATTTGTCATCATTACGTTCCTTTATTCCCAGGTAAGTAGGTCATAAGTACTAAGTTTTCAATAAGAAGAGTTACTATTCATTTTATTATAAGTAATTGTGTTTATTTTTTTACAAAAAAAATGTGTTCATTGTACTTAGAGGAATATTAACTATTATATAAGTACTACCTAATAAATAAATACTGATAGCTGATAGGTAATTTAATTGATGTTGGATTATTAATTTACAATGTTTGTTAGAGTTTTAAGTCAACAATTAGGTTTTTTTAAATCCATTATCTCATATCAGGCTTACTGTTCAATGTTTTTTAATTTAATAAATTCTTAAATTAATGTTACTTTACTCAGTAGTCTAATATTTCTTGGGTATTTTAAGTATATAATTACCTAATTTATTAAAATATTTATTATTATTTTTTTTTTTGTTATAGACAACCAACTAGAAATTATTCATCCTTTATCAAAAATTCACCATGTAAAAAACCAGTTCCTGTATCACCTATCAATTTAAACAAAATAAATCCTACATTGATGCTTGTTGGATCTGTAGGATATATTGGATGTAGATATTTACTTGATGGAAGTAATATAGTCCATTGTCAACATAAAGAACTAGAAATAACATCAGATAACCATTTTGATTGGAATAAGTTATTGTCTTATTTATCACCAGATTTATTTAACCTAATAGCTGCGATTGCTGTAAGTATATTAATTAGTAATTACTTTAGATATTTAATAAAAGAGGCCGATGTAAAAATTGTATTCTTTATTATATATTTTTTATTAATTGTTATTATAGTCATATACTCTAGGTTTTTTAAAAATTATTTCAGGCTGCATTTATTATTGCTCTGTGCAATTTAAGTATCCCAATCAACTTACAGCATGTTATAAATACTGTACTTAAGTTTGCCAAGGATGAAATACCATTTGATTTAAAAAAACTTACTGACCCATTATCCAAACTATTAGCTCTTTACATAATGCAGGTAAAATTATTTTAACAAAATATTTTATTTTAAAACAATAATTTTTTAACAACATTTCACTTAGGGCCTATCAACATTTATATGTATAAGCATGTTGTCAAAAGTTGGAGAAAATGTTGCTATACGTATGAAATATAATCTTTTTTCATCTATACTTCAACAGGAACTAGAATTTTTTGATAAAACACGTACAGGTGATATTTTACAAAGGTAAATTGTTCATAAAAAAAATTACTTATGATAAATTTAAGTATTTTTTTTCTTACATATAAAATAGAAAACTGTATTGAATTAGAAATAGAATTCATGATAGTATTGTATTAATATCTTATATTTTGAATTTTATTTTAAATATTTTGAATTCAATCATAACATTTATTGTTTAATTAATTTTTGGTAAACAGATTTTGTAATAATTTTTAATTCTAGACTAGTTACTTAAATGTTTTAAATATTAATTCATAGGTTAACAACTGATGTACAAGATTTTAAAAGTTCTTTTAAACTTGTAATAATACAAGGCCTCAAAAATGTAACCCAAGTACGTAGGTTAGAAACAAGTTTCTTTCAAAGATTATTTTTAAAATGCTTGTTATATAATCAATATATTTTTTGTTATTTATTTTTATTTGTAATTTAGTTAATTGGCGGAGTATGGACTTTGTACAACACATCACCAGAAATGACTGGAGCTGTAGCTATTATTTTACCAACTATTATTGTTATAGGCACATTTTTTGGCTCTATTTTGAGAAAACTTAGCAAACTGGCTCAAGAACAAGTATTTACATTTAAATACAACTAAATGATTTATATTTATTATTTTTATTTATCATATACACAGGGTACTAAATCTACAATTATAGCTGAAGAAGTGATTGGAAATATGAGAACTGTTCGTGCCTTTGCATCTGAATCTACAGAATGTGAAAGATTTTTGACAGAAATTGAAAACAATGGATTATTGCATAAGAAATTAGGTTATGGTATTGGTCTATTTCAAGTATGTACATTTATTTATCAAATAAAATATTTAAACTATTATTCAGAAATAGTATTTTTGTTTTTAGGCAAGTTCTAATGTGTTCCTCAATGGCATTGTTTTGGGAACAATAATCCTTGGTGGACAACTTATGACAACCACCAATCTTGATCCTGGACAGCTTATGTCTTTTCTCATGGTTACCCAAATGCTTCAACATTCTTTAGGACAATTTTCGTTGTTATTTGGTCATTATGTAAAAGGTGTCTCAGCTGGATCCAGAATATTTGAAGTAAGACATTTTTTAGTTTATTACTATTAAACTTTATAATTTATACTGTATTGAGAATAAGAATGCCCACTTACATGGAAAAAAACTGTTTGTGCATATTTCATGATAAACCCTGTTGTGTACTGTAAGACAATCAACAAACAATCACAATGTATCTAAATGTTGCATGAAGCCAATAGTTCAGTATGAAAATTTAGGAATTCTTTAACTGAGTAGATTATAATTACTCAATTTTTAAATTATGTTAATACTTTTACTTATTCAATTGGATTAATTGTGTATATTTATATTTTTCAGTATATTAATAAGAGTCCTAAAACACTGATTAATGAGGGAATTCAAATCCCACATCATTCTTTTAAACCAGAAATAGAATTTAAAGATATCACATTTTCATATCCAACCAGACCTGAACAAGTAATATTGACATTATTGTAAATAGAGTAATGAAAATTAATGCTTTGATATGACCACGGCTCACTACTCTGGGCCATAGAAATGTATTGAAGATTAGAAAATGAAAATACATTGTATATGGAATTTAACTCTATGAATCTATACTCCAAACACTGACTTGAGGCCACCTAAGTTCCTTCCATGATATTTCCTAAAAATTATGTATATTTAATACTATGTGCTTAATTTTTAATTGAGGGGATTTATTCTATCTAAGCATCACTTCTCCCTATTTGTGTCAATGGAGCCACAACATTCTTATTATCTAAACTTTGATACATTCCTATTCAGAGTATAGTATGATTGAGAAGATAATTTATATTATTGAAACATAATTCTATAGGTTATATTAAAAGACTTTAACCTTACTTTGCCTCCTGGTAAAGTGGTTGCTGTTGTTGGATCTTCTGGTAATGGTAAATCTACTATTGCTGCGCTTCTTATGAGGTATATATTTTTGTTATTTCTTTTAAAGAAATTATTATTACCTTTCTGTATTGTTCATAGATTTTATGATGTTAATTCAGGAAGTATAATAATTGATGGTGTAAATATCAAAAAGCTTGATCAAACTTGGTTGCGTAAGAGAGTTATTGGATTAATTAATCAAGAACCAATACTGTTTGCTATGTCTATCTTAGAAAACATACGCTATGGAAAGCCTGAGGCTACAGATATTGAGGTGAAAAAAATATATTGATTTAGTTGACAATTAAAGTCTGAATTTAAATTTGAAAATTTTAGGTTATTGAAGCAGCAAAAATAGCAAATGCTGATTCTTTTATCACTTCTTTTCCTAATGGCTATAATACAATTGTTGGAGAACGAGGCGTAACAGTTTCGGGAGGACAAAAACAAAGAATTGCTATTGCGAGAGCTATTTTGAAAAACCCAGCAATACTTATATTAGATGAAGCAACAAGGTCTGTTTAAATATCAATTATGTATTTTTGTGTGTAGTATAAATATGAAATGTCGAATTCATAAATTTACAGTCTAATTAAAATAAAATTGGTCTTTTCTATTTATCGTTTCATAGCGGTCAAGCTACACCTCATTAGGGTGTATGCTAATTTTGCATTTAATTTATTATGTAACTCTTTTTAATAGTGATATATTTATATTTCATGTGTAAGTGATTGATTTTGAACAGACTAACAAAAAATATTATTAATTATATAAGGTAGGTAATTATTAACTACCAGTTTCTTCTATAACCCAAATTTAGGTTACAAAAGTAATTACTCAAACTTTAAAAAAAAAAATTACTTAAATTTTAATAAATTGTCTATCAACTTATATAAGTATTATTGATATAAATATAAATCTAAATAAAAATGTTAAAAATTAAATATATATGACTTTTTCTAGTGATTGTGAAACCAGTTCCCTTATGAATTATATTATGCTATTATAGTAATGTTCTTGATAAAACATTATGAATTTAAAATTCCATTTTTATATTTTGTTTTGTAAAATAACTATAAAGAAAAACATACGTATTATAATCATGAAAAATACTTATATTTTTTTTTTTAGTGCACTTGATACAGAATCTGAAATGCATGTGCAATCAGCATTAGAATCGGTAACAAAAGGAAAAACAGTTTTAGTGATTGCTCATCGATTAAGCACTATAAAGAATGCAGATGTAATTGTAGTTTTAAACAAAGGTGAAATTGTTGAAGTAAGTAGTAATATTTTAAATAACTACATAAAATTCATAAATATAAAAAATAAATTAATAATGATCCTAAAGATGTTTACCTAAGTCTATTATTACTTATTAAATCAGAAAAATATCAGAGCGAATTGCATATAAATATATATGATTTACATGATCTATCTTCTGTAAACATTGTGTTGAAGCTGAAGAATTTTATGTGTTATAGTAACATTTTCCTAAATATAAGTTTTTACATAGGTTGATATATAATTAAATATATAATATAAAATCATGATAAATTGTATGTTTTTCAAAAACAATTGTAATTTATAATTTAATGGTTTAAAGCTTAGATTTCTATTAATAATTGTATATTTATCTTTTTTTTTTTTTATTATAATTTACCTTCAAAAGCAAGCCTAAGTAAAAGATAAGATTTCTTTTTTAAGTAAATCTATATATTTATAAATAATACAAACGTTTTAAGTATTAGATAAATAAAAATTAGGTATTTTCAATATATAGTGAATGTGCGCTAATTGTGTATTATAGTTAATAAATAACTTATAGTTATTTTATAGCTATCATAGTATTAATATTAAAGCAAAACGTTGTGTAAATTATTGAATAAAAATATCAAATTCTATTTTATTACATATGCAAATTAAAATATTAAAAGGGTTTCTTTAATTTACTTTAATTTCGTTTCTTATTTTAAATATTTAAACAAATAATACATAAAATTTATTGATAATTAATTTTAATTTTACAATACAAAGTTTACAACCATGGATATCCCATTATGATTATTTGATTTAAATCAAAATTGAAAAGTTGCTTTTTTGTTGATTAAAAAAAAATAATTATATTTGATAAAATTGTATGTATAACAAAGTTATATTATTTTATTTTTAAAAACATTGATATAAATAAAAATTAATACTGGTTTTGTTGATATCCACCCAGAAAGTATTCTGAATTCAGATTTAGTTGACACTTATCTTTTAATTCTCTCATATTTTTAAAGTTTTTATCATTTATTATTAAATTTATACTGTGTACCACAGATAAAATAATCTTATAGAGTATATTTATTTGAAACTTAATTATTTTAAACTGTTTGGTATATTCTTTATAATATTACACATGATATTTCACATGTAACATTATGTGGTACTTTAGTTATTCAGTAATTTTCATTAGTAAATATTTTATTGAAAATACATTGCAATGCTAAAATGCAATAATATGAATTTCCAACAAATTTTGTCGACAATAATTGTTCTGCAAAATGCTTATATAATTCAAATATAAAAGAAAAAAATTACACGGGATACATACAAGTTAAAATAACTCTTTTTTGTAATTTTTAATAATTTATTATTAGATTTAAATTTTAAGTAAATTGACTAATTTATAAAAATGTATGAAGTCTTAAGGTTTTTTGTTTTTACAGATTCTTACCAAGTTTTTTAAATTTTCAAATTTACCAATCAGAAGTAAATTTAATAAAGATCTAAACATTTGCCATTGTTCAGCACAATTAAATTTTTCTATATAATTCTATGATTTGATTATAATTTATATGAAAATTAGAGAAAACTGAATTTTATTTCACCCAGATTCCTGTAATAATTGAATTTTCTAAAATAAATTAAAAACTTAGTTTTTCTCTTATACTTTTATATTTTATAATTTTACTAAGCTTATTCCTTTTGATTTAATATTTTTTTGTTAACCAATAAATAATAATATTTTTATTCTTAGGTTGGAGACCATAACACCTTATTGAATAAGAAAGGTTTTTATTGGAATCTTATGAATCAGCAGACATCAGACAAAGCAAGTGCTGCATAAATTATTATGCAAAGTAAAGTTAAATTGAAAATAAACTTTATTTAGGTAATATTTAGGTTTATTGTTAATTAATAATGGTTCTTCTGAATATTTTAGTAAATTTATTTTTAAATAATTTATATCTGTTTATTAAGTGTTATTAAACTTTAATTATTTAAAAACTTGAATTATTACTATAGCATAAAGCTATAGAAATATAGAATAGTCTATAAAGAATTATTTTCTATGAAAGGCAATTTGAGTAAACAATTTTTGGTGCATTATTATTATGGTAGTAAGTAATTGGACATTTACTGATAGAAATTAATAATTTTAATAATTTTAATTTTCAACGATATAATCAATAATAATCATGGTTGAAAATCATTGAATTATCAGTTAATTGTTACTTTAATAACATTTTAACACTAAACTTAATTACTAAAATTATGAGATAGATGTATCTTGCACCAATAATAATTATAATACTTTCAAATAACCCTAGTTTATTTCTTCTTGAAAATCATTATTTTTAACTATTGTTTCACCTTTTAAAAGAAAAAAAAACAAAAATTGAAATTTATTAAGTTGCAACTTTCGATTTAAATCTATGACTAGACAATAGACATAGTAAGTTTGTTCGTTGTAACCATATCAAACACTTAATAAATGTAATTGTACATTGCATTATTGTTGATGATGTGAAACTAGTTGTCATTTTTTTGTTATAGGATGGTACAATTATTAATTTTAAAACCAATAATGTAATAAAAGAGTTAATTTTAAATTACTTAAAAATAAATAATATTTAGATCCCATGTTAAGTATTAAATAGTTTATATTTTGAAATTTTTTGTTTAACTTGACATTGTATTAAACTGAATTTTTATATAAATTGTTTATAATTGCTAAATAATAAATTATGTTATATTATTTACAAAGGTTAAATGTTAATATCCTAATTTGGATCATGTATGGTGTCTAAATTATGTATATTTAAAATTTAATATTATTGTGATTAAACCCATTTCTTAAGTTGGTTTGCCTAAAAATAGATAAATTATAAACAGGATTTTTGGGTACATAAAAATATATTGGTTTACTAAAAAAAATTGAAATGACGCCATACTGATAAATGCATAAAAAATGTAATCAATAATTTCATGTAATATTTACATTATAGATTAACCTATGTATTAATATAATATTATTAGTTGAATATTTTAATTATATATTTTTGTTAATAAATAATAAAAGTTATACAACAATTTTTTACCATTGAAACTTACTTACCTGTAGTCCTGAAATGTATATATTATACATAAAATAATTTGATATGAATAACTATTAAAATGTTTTGGTTTACAATCCACACCAATGGTGTTATTTGATAGTATTAATTTTATTTTTTAACTAATAAGTATAATATATTAATTAATATAGTGTTAGCTTAATGTGAACTCAATGTTTTTATTTACATTTAAATATGAAAATAATAATTAAATTTATATCAACTTTTATATTATGTAGTTAAAAAAAAATTGTATTTTTGTATTAGGTACAGTTATGTAGTATTGGTATAACTATTACTTTAATAATTATCATAATTTAATGGTTTACATTATTTGCATGTGACTTGCATTACATAATTTTATTTGATTCTAATCAAGTTAAATACCAATTTTGAATTTTTAAACATGGCAATAAATGTTATTTATGACACTAGTACAGTGATACAATATGCCAATATAATAATATATTTATTTATATAATATTGATAATTGGAAATAGGTAATATAATATAATATTATACATCGATACCATCTAATACGTTTAATGTTTATTACATTAATTGTCTATTTATTGCTATTGTTGTATGAAAATTATAGACACTAGGTAGGATAAAATATTAAAATAATTTCAGTCGTATTTATTTTTATTTAATAAATGACACGATGAATTCAAATTAACATAACAAATGTATGAAAAGTTGTGAAAGTACAAAACATTAACAAGCAGTATATCTACATCATAAGTATAATATACTTTATAAAAAAAAGTTTTAAAGTATTACGAACACCTAACTAATAGAGTTCGTACGTCCTGACGCAAATCGAGGATAGTGAACGATTTAATACTTCTTGTATCCGCTGCTGCCGGAGTAGCTTGTCGACGGTGGTCCGTACGAGGAACTGATGCCTGACGATGAACTGTATCCGCTGCCGGACTGGATACTGGAGTAATCGGACGAAGCCGACGAGTAGGATGGAGCGGGTGCGCTATAAGACGACGACGAGTATGATGGAGCGGAGGCGCTGTAAGACGCGGAAGAGTATGATGGAGCGGAGGCGCTGTAAGACGCGGAAGAGTATGATGGAGCGGAGGCGCTGTAAGACGCGGAAGAGTATGATGGAGCGGAGGCGCTGTAAGACGCGGAAGAGTATGATGGGGCTGGTGCGCTGTAAGACGCTGATGAGTATGATGGAGCGGAGGCGCTGTACGACGCTGATGAATATGATGGAACGGAGGCGCTGTAAGACGCAGAAGAGTAAGACGGTGCGGCGGCGCTGTACGACTCAGAAGCGTAAGACGGTGAGCTCAAAGCGATGCTAGCTGCTGGTGCGGCATAAGATTCAGATGCGTAAGCTGGGGCGGAGGCGATGCCAATTGCTGGGGCGGAGGCAATGCCGATTGCTGGGGCTGGAGCGGCGACGGCGTAAGTTGCTGGTGCTGGAGCGGCGACGGCGTACGAGACTGGAGCTGGTGCGACGACTGGGGTCGGGACGGAGTATGGGACAGCTTGTTGGATTTCTACTGGGTACGGTTGTGGCACTGAGTATGGCACTGGTCTGCTAACGGGGACTGGGACTGGGTGTGGTACACTGACTGGAACGGCCCTGGGAACGTCGACTGGGTATGGTTTGTTCACGGTGACGGGCACTGGATGAGGTACGCTGACGGGGACGGCTCTGGGTACAGACACTGGCACGGGTTGTGCGACCGGCACGGGCACGTGGCGGGTCACTGGGACGGCGTATGGCTGTGGTACGGACACGGACACGACGTGGTTGGAAGTACTGACTCTGGTTGGCACGGCAGAAGCGGCTGAGATACTACCATAACCGAAAGACGGCGCTGCAGCTATTCCGTAACCGGAAGAAGCGGCGTAACCGAGACCGATCGGGGCGGAGTATCCGAGACCAGCTGAAGAACCGTATCCGAGTCCAGCGGAGGAAGCGTATCCAAGACCGATCGGGGCAGAGTATGCGACACTAGCTGGGGCGGCGTATCCGTAGCTCGAGGGAGCGGCATATGAGTGGCTGATGGGGGAGGCGAGGCCGATGCCCGGCGAGTATGAGGGCAAACCGGAGCCGTATCCGGACAGACCGGAGCCGTATCCGGACAGACCGGAGAATCCGTACGACGAAACACCTAAGCTCCTCTTGTTGGTCTGTTTGTTATCGGTTTTTGCATCCTCAGCGAAACAGTGAGCTATTAAAGCCAAACCGACAACACAAGCCTGTAGTGGAAAAAAAAATGTTAAGTATAATCAACCGATAGCAATGGTCCACACAAACTTAAACGTATTAAAAATCGATATAAAAAAAAAAAAAAAAAAGAGCTCGTATTAAACTATCGACCGCGGATTATTGGGAATTGTAAATTTAATAAATACGATTAGGTTTTACTAAGTTTATTTTTTTGCGGTGCACAACTTACCTTGAAGAATTTCATGATGATGGTTATGATGGTATCTGTATGATTTCCACTGATACAACTGATACCAAACAGTGGTTCGCTAGGGTTTTTATAATTCTGCTGAGATACCGGTACTGTTTTTTCATTACTCCCCTCTGACTTAGTTAATCGTCCGTAATCATCCATATGACACTTTCTCCGCGACAAGAATATGCGCACACACCGTAGTTACGTCATGGTGGGGTGGTCAGTTTAGAACAGGACCAGTTTTCGCGATTATAGTCATTGCATTTCGAAGATGTCACCCGGCTGTATCCGAAATTGTGTAACCGATGTATTTCAATGGTAATATTCGTATAACATACTATACGTATATTGTACCCACGTCCATGTCTGTCTGACGAGTTTGGCAACAATTTCACATTTTTTTTCTCAGCCTAGTATATACGTTTATGTGTAGGTACATCTTTATAATGTGTTAATACGAAATTAGTATGTTCAGAAATTTTAATAATGTTATTAGCTGAGTAAATATGTAATGATTGATACAATAACACGTGAATTAATAATTGGTTGATGAGTGGTAAATAGAAAGAGCGAAATTCGAATTACCTTATGTTAAGTAAAACAATTTTAGTTTCATTTTTAACAACACTAAATTCATATTTATAGGTAAGTAATAGATGATATAAAGCGATTTTTATGAAATGCATAGTAAACGCAAATACCTACTCATTTTCCTTGGGATGTACTATGTTTTTGGGAATATTTTTTTTTACTTAATTTAAATTTATTGCAAGACAAAATTTTTGAAAACAAAATTATATTTTTACTATTTTTTTTTTCTTATGAAATTTATTTTTAAGAAGAATATTTTTCTGAAAATTTTAATAAATGCGTATAAATTGGATTTGAAACTAACTATCAATTTTATGAATCAACTTAAATATATTTTAATCTTAGTATAATATTGAAATTTCAAACAAAAAAAAACTGTTCTACTTTGTAGTATGAAATTAAAAATGTATGCTCATTTAAAAAGTAAAAACTTAAAAATTGTAATGAAATTACAAAAAATAATGTTTTTTATTAACTAAATTATCTTTAAAATGTATTTATTTTGAGGCAGAAAAATTGAAAATTCTGTAAAATGTAACATTCTAATTATAAATTATAATATATTTTTGATTTACACCTTTTAAATATTTAAAAAATAATCATCAAATCCTTGATCAAATATTCCAATTATGATAAGGTTTATATTATAAATTAATATCATACTCGATTGTTCAATATTTTTTTAAACACAAAAATAAAATAATTATGCCTGATTTCCTATGATAATTTACATAATTTGTTTAATACTTACCTAAATCTTATGTACTCATCTCAAATACTTTATTATTTAGGTAGGTATACGAACGTCGTACATAATATAAACTTTAATAACTGTTCAATGTTCATGATTTACAAAAATGTAAAATTGTCACATAAGACTTATTTATATAGCTTATAAAAATTGTAATATTTTATTAATTATTATTAATTATATGAAACTACAATAATGTATAGATAAATTATACCTAATTTAAAGTAGATATTAAATATATTGACAGATAAACACTATAAGGTTTAAAAATATAAGCATTTTTTTTTTTTTAATTACCTGAATATGTATAATATATAATATTAATTAAAATATATCAGTCCTTAAAATATCTAAATTTTTATACTTCGTCCATAGTCCCGAATCGGCCAAATCTAAATAGTAAATCAATGCTCTAAAAACTAGCTCCAATGCTTGTGGATTTCTTTAATCAAAAAACGCATAATATAAAATTAAATAATAATATGTATTAATATACTATTTTGTAATTATTGTGAAAAAAGTTAAATTTTTATTAATTAATTAATATAAGTATTAATTTACTAAAAAAAAAAAAATTGATTTAATTTACTCTTATAAATTATTATTTATTAGCATATCGTATTATATATTATTATATTATAATCTTTTGATTTATACAAATAAATCAATGATTTTAAATAGTGCTGTAATATTTTACCATAATAAATACTGTTTAAAGTACACTTTTAAATTTTGTACTACACACAACTTTAGGTGCTGAAATTTGTATAATATCATAGTTTCTAGTCCAACTATTTGAATCGATATTGTTATTCATTTATTACATATTACATAGATTGATAGATCGATAGACGATTTCTAATGTTACACTTTTAATGTCCTCTATGGTCGAAACAATCAAGTTCTAGCAATTCCGGTCGGAAAAATATAAGTATAAACAAATAGAAAAAAAGTCATATATTTTGTAATCTATATTTCCGGTCTGTTGACTTATACATAAAGTAATATTATATAAAAACTAGAGAGTGGACTCTTATAAGTTGTCGTGTGATGTGTCAACGTAATAATATAATATAAGAACAGTTATTTCCAAATATGTAGTAAGACTAACACAAGATCAGCAACTAAAATTAAATATTAATTACATTATTTTTTATAAATATTAATCGAATATGAGTATCTACCTATTTGGAATGCTAAAACCTTAACAAGCTACACCGAGAAAGACTTAAATGTGCTCTTATTATCATTCTTTTCTTTAAACTTTAGATTTTCTTAGTTATCCTTTATGTTTCTTGGCCGAAGAAAAAAACAATGTTCAATATAAATAACATTTAAATCGATATTCTTATTTTGTTAGTTTTATATTATTTTACATTGTTTACCAACTTTAGCATGATATATTATATGTGTATATACAAACAAGCTACAGCATACCTTAAATGTATCAATTGACTAAGTATAAAAATATTAAATTGTAGCAAAAAAAATTTTTTTTTAATTCAATACAAGTTTTAATTTTAAAATAAATATACTTATATCAAGATTGTTTTACTTTAAGTATTACTAGTTTGCATGTAGGTATGATATATATTTATAAAGTACTCAGATAGTTTATATTATATTTTAATAAGACTGATATTTTATTTCGGAATTTTATTCAAATATTATAAATTAATAGAACTCGCAAAGCTTAAAAATTTTTAGTCCATAATTATTATACCGCCTTCTGTTTACTAGAAAACCTAGTTAAATAGATTTTTTAACAAAATATATTCTCGTAATTTATCGTTGGATATACAAAAAAAACAAGGCACATCAATATGTATTTTTTTATTCGGAAGTAGTTATACATTTTAATTAAGTAAATACATGTTTTTTTTTTTTAGAAACTCAGAATTGTCTTTGCTCGTCTATATTAACGTATACCTAAATTAATAAATTGTAAATCTTATAATATATTATGACATTATGTATAATTTTTTGTCTACAATTTAGTTCAAAATATGATAATTTTTATTTATAGAAAGTCATAATATAAATGGATTTTCTTGTTTTTTTTTTTTCATGAAATAACATATTCTTCAATCAAATTTCATCAATAACTTGTTTCGATAAAAATTAGAAGTTGTAAATACACTGTATGGGGTAATTCCATTTCTTAGAAAATATTATTAAAACATATTTATAATTTATTTAATTTTTTATAACTAAATCCACTATTATTTAATATTTTAAATTGTATGTACCTATACCCAAGGAATCTGATTATTTTAGAAATAAAACAATTTATCTTTGTTTTTAAATTTTTTTAAAAAACTCCATTTATGCTGTGACATATTCAACAGCCATTCCTCTTTTTAAAAGACAAACTAAATTTGTAATATTTATGATCATAAAAAAAGTTGTCTAAAATAACTTTTTAGTTATTCTATTTGCTCTGACTAACATATTAAGTTCTAGACAAAGAAATACTTTTTAGAATTACTATGACCCTATAAAGTGAATATTTCGTTATACTTGTATTTTAAGTTGGTACCTATATATTTTAACTATTTTATTTAAAAAAAAAAAAATGAATGAATGATATTTTATATGTATACCATAAAATATTTAATAGAAATTGAAAAACATAGAATAAAATGGTTAAATATAAATAATTAAATAAGTTATCCATCGTATTTTTTCCCAATAAAATTACGAGTACTTGTATGTTATGAAAAACATAGTCGATAGAAATATTCCGAATATGGTCAGTTGATGTCAATTTGTCTGTTAATATCGTCTGACGTGAACATGGTTATTGTAATATTCTAGACAAGTACAGTTTTTTTTGTTATGTAAATTAAGTTAAAAACGCCTTATTTAATAATAAATAAATTAATAATTTTTAATTTTTTAATAAAAAATAAAATATTTTTAAGAGCCTATTTTAGAATTTTGGCATATTTTTAGAGCATATATTATAATTTCTTAGGGCATAAATGCTAAAATGTATACATATTTTAAGATTTCTTAGAGCACGAAGTCCTTAGTTCTAGACTTATTTTTTATATTATAAAAATTACAAACCTATTAAAAAAATATATACATATAATTTTTATTATAATTTTCAAATTCTAATGTGCTAATCAGTAAATATTATACAGATGTTTATAACTCTTACAATTATTGTTATTGTAATAAACAATAGTTAATAGATATTGTCATTGATTACTATAACAATAGTATTTATAATAAATTATATTAGGTAGTATTTAATATCCTATATTATATATTTCAATTTTCAGTATTTACTATTTTAAAACATAGGTACTAGTTTGCGGCGGTTGTCGTCTCATATGCCCCTGCTCGTAACGGATGTCGTTGAAGTTGTTTCCCTATTATGTAATCTCAAGGATTCCCAAGAATATGTTACATATGCTATTATATTTTGCCTTTTTTATCATTGTATTATAATAAATGATGTAATTATATTACATTGATTCATTCTGCGGTGATTTTAAAAACTACTTTAACTCTATTCTATTTCATTTACAAGCAAGTAACTATTGGGACATGTCAAAAACATATGCTTTTTTGTATCCGATTGTCAATTGTTAATGATTATACAGTTTTATTTCGAAAGTTCAATTCGTATCTGTTATTAAATTTTTAGTAAATATTGATTTTTATTAATTAATTAAAAACAAGTAAAATTATTATTATTATTGTTAGATTTTTTTTTAACTATTTAAATCATTAAAATAAATTAAATTAAAATTGTCGATAAAGTTGGTAGAAACGTTATAAGGGTATTTATATTATTAAAATACACATACTATTTTCAAATAATGTATACATATAATTAGTTATACACCTTTTTGTGTTAGCTATAACTTGTACCTAAATGCTATACTTACTGTTTGTCCAATTTAAATGTTATACAAATATAAGGTACCTGCATAAAAATATTGATGAATGAAATTAAAATGTAAGCTAAATAATTATCCAATATTTTTTCTAAGTTCATCTTACGGAAAACAAGAATCTAATTTTAGGTAGATACATTTTGTGTTTATATTTTAAATTATTTATATTTTTTACACTAATTAAAAAGATATTTAAAAAAAAGTTAGTGTTTTATAGTGATACAAACTTCTTTTTTTCCAACGAAAACAAACATTGCAACTTAACATATTTTTAAGCAGATGTTTTTTTTTTTTAAATATCGATGTTCTTAAAAATTCGAGTCAACATTTTTTAAATTATTTTAATGTACTTATATCCTAACATAAAGATAATAGTAGGTACTTAAAAATGGATTTACAAAAATATAAAATATGTAATGAAAATATTGTTATGAATCTAGTATTTAATATATTTTATTATATTCAAATAATTTTTACAAATTATTAAGTGTTCAAATCATCTTGACCCTATATTTTCTAAATATCTAAGCCCTTTATCATGGACTTCTGATCTTTTACGTGCTAAATTAAATATTTAAAAAACGCGACTCAATATATATTAACATAATATATATATTTATAAAAATATTATCGAGTAAATATTTTATTCAATACTTTTGAAAAAAATTAAATTTTTCATTAATCTATCATTAATTATATTTTTTATAATTTTTTTATCTCATGTATTGAGATTATTATTATTTTAAATTGAATTATAAACATAACTTATTTATTTTATTTTTAATTAATATATTTGATGATTCAGACAATTTTTTAGACAAAGTCACCGAGGCAATATCGTTTTAAATTATGGGAGTTTAGTGAAAGCGTAACTATTAACGAGATTTATTGAAAACTTCACTAAACTAAAATAACAAATAGTGATGACCTTTATAACTTATTATTTACCAAGATTTTAAATTAAACTGGTTTCAAGAGTATTACAATTTACAATTAATATGTTTAAAACATAATAAATTATATTTGTTTTAACTTTAAAAATAAAACAATAAGTAGTTTATTCACTTAGATTATAATTTGACTAATGTTAACTTCTAAGTAAGTTTGAAAATTACTACTTTTTTGTATTATATTAAAAAATAGATTTTTGCTTATTTATGAAAAAACCTTATTTAAATATACATCTTTTAATAGAACTAATAACAATAAAGGTATTCAATAAGAGTATAATGCATACAATATATATAATATATACTAGTAGATACTTGGTACCTAATGGCTACTACAAGAATAACGATTTGGAAATTTAATAAGACAAAGTCATATTTAAAAGTGAATATTTTAAATATATATTTTATTACGTAGAATACTAAACAATAGACATTATGTATAATATGTTGCAGTATATTGTACTGTGTATACAATGATATTAAAATAATTAAAGAAAATATGTAATTTTCTAGTACCTACCTATCTACCTATTGGATGTAGGCTATGTAAAATGTTTTAAAGTTATTCTTCAAAATATTTATTTAAAATGGAAAAATAAATCAAAATTTGAATCTGATGAGTGAAGACTGATTATTCTTAATATTAATCAATAATAGCTATGAAATTAATCATTTTGAATATCGATAAATTTTATTCAACAAATCGTAACTAGTGAGATCAAACAGATTCAAATGTGAAACAATTTAAGATATTAAATTTTATTTTGAATATTTTTGTATAGATATTTTTAGCGTTGTACTTTACGCTTTATGTAACTATTTTTTGTATTTATAATTGTATGCGATGGTATTTTTATGCATTGTACTAGGTTTATTAGTCTAATATAATATTAATTACATTTTTTAGTTAAACATTTTAAATAAACCATACAATAATTTTTGATTTTTCTATTTAATATAAATAATTATATCAATATATATTATTATTGATATTTAATATTTTTAAATTTTACTCATGGATACCTACTTAATTTGTTTAAAGTACCTATACTCAATGATTTCTTATATAAGTATACATGTAAACGTATATGTAGTTAATTTTAAAAAAAATTAATTTAAACTGAATCATGAATTTATATTTAAAATATTAATTTTTAGTTTAAGTTAAAGGAATTTAACTTTTAAGTCAAAGGAATTGAATCTGTCATGGTCATTACATTTTTATTGTAGTATGTATTTTCTAATTATTAGTTATCGTTATACAATGTAGGAAATATTTAATTTTCAGTGTTTAGTAAGTACCCGACATGGTAACACAATAACAAGAAGAAAAATGAACTGATTATATTGAATGAGATAAGAAATATGTATTGCTTAGTGAAAATGTATGTAAAATATAGGTATATAATATATATGATGGTTTTATTTTAATGAAATTAAATATTAATAATTTCGGTAAAAAATTTGAAAAAGTTGTTTTTTTAAATTTCAAGTCAGAGACATTCAATAAATTAATAATTCTTTATCGGTTAGAATTTGTAATAGCTCCTGTAATAAGAAAGTATAATAGACATTAAACTAAAGTGATTGTACAATTTGAATGCAGTTTATATAGATAGCTACCAAAGTAGTCGCATTTGATCAGAACAGGACTCATATAATCCTATAAATAATGTTAAATACCGATTAAATTTTCATGACAAATTTTATACATTAAATACTTGAATGTGAAATGTGTTAATTGAAAGTGTAATTTGCACGACCTAGTTGAAGATTATCATTATGTTTATTTTTATCGTATCCTGCTAATAATTATTACATTTATGGATAATATTTAAAATTAATCTTAAAAATCAAAACTATAAAAGTATCTGATACTTAGTGCCTAGGTGTTAAATGTACAATTTCGCACAGTAAGTCACTGTAATGAATATGTTAAATTTGAATTTAGTGAAAAATCATGGCACTCAAAAACGAATGTATCTACCGTCTAGTACCTACTGAGCGAAGACGAGTTTATCGGACATTCAAATTATCACTGTATCAACCTACTCCATAATCGTATATTTCTTAAGATATTTTATTATATATTTATATTGCTATTAGAAATTTATTTTTCTGTTACCTAGTAACACGAGTACGATAATTAAAACTGATTTTAATCCAAAACAAATTGCATATAATAGTATAATATTATAGCATAATATAAACAAAAATCGTCTGTGGAAAAATCGTCATTAAATTTATAAATTAAATTCTAATTTCAATTTTTTTTAAATTTTAGTAAAACAAATTAAAAATTATAATTGTTTTAAGTTTAAAATGTTTCAGTTAAAATTTTAACTATGTAAAAATAATAATTTTTAAATCTTGAAATAAAGTTGACGTTTTTGTATAATTTGTTTAGCCCGACTTAGAAAATATAATATACAGCTATTATGAAAAGATGAGAGGACAAAAACATCTTTTACTTTTCATGTAATTGGGCATTACATTTACAGTAGGTATAAAATAACAATTTGACAGTGATTTTCGTTAAGTACCATTATAGATTGTTTTTTGGAATCAAGTTAGAAAATTATAAGCCAAATCAAACATGTATGTAGACTTGTACTATTAAATTTTCCTTCAATTATAGTCAGTGTACTGTATAATAAAATCATAATTGATAATTTTAAATTGTTAAAATCCACGTTTTTATGATTTGAATGTACAAATAGGTAGGTACTTAAAAATACAGGATACAAATCTAAAAAAGTGTATATCATTTTATCCTCGGGCACGATTAGCGATGCCTAGGATATAATATTAATAGTTATTATAGTAAATATTTATATATAAAATAATTTATTTTCGGTCGTGAACTTAATAAAATTCAAATTTTACAAATAGAAATCAATCTTTTTGAAGCCACGTACAGGGGTTATATAAAATAACATAATATTATAATTATAACTTATAATTTATTATATATAAAATAATCTATACCTACACATTAAAATAGGTATAAAAGGCAATTAATTACAAACGGTTATTGATAACACGACGCGACGGTGGAGCATCATGAACGGGCGAGCAAATAATATTATAAATAATAATAATGATGATGATGAATTGTGTAGCGTATAAAAACACCATCAGTGGTGGATCGCGTAACTGCTGCTAAAGCCGTAACCATGGTCGTGACCGAAGTCGTAGGTACCGTAACCATGGCCGTGGTGTTCCTTGACGTAGACGGGCAAGTGCTGTTGTACGTACACCGGATAGGGCACAGGATGGGCAACCGGGATCTTGACGGGTACTTTGACCGGATATGGCACAGGACGGTCTACGGGCACCGGGACATGTTTCTCGATGTGCACGGGATATGGCACGGGTTTCTCGACGGCTACTGGGTATGGCACGTGTTTCTCGACTGGAACGACAATCGGTCGATCAACGATGACTGGCACCTCTTTGGTGACGTGCACAGAGCTGATGTGTCCATAGCTGTGGTCCGAACCTAACAGACCGTAGTTGGACAGACCGTCCCATTCGCTGTGTCCGCCGTATCCATAGCCCAAACCCCAGAGACCTCGTTTGCCTTGCTTCTTTTCTGTTGGCTTCTCGGCGGCGGCGGCGGCCTTCACGGCATCGGCGCAGACTAAGGACGCGCCGACACTCACCAACAATATCGAAATCTGCGTCAGTAAACACAAACCGTACATTACAACATTTTTTATGAATTTATACAATACAATCATATTATATTAATAGCATACATAGTTAGAGAGATTGAAAAATAAATTTTTTCGTACAGCACAATTTATATTGAAATTTGCATTACTATGAAGCACCCCCCCCCCCCTCTTCACAACACTATAAAATGCATTTAAACGAAACACGTAAACATGAATGAGTTATGGTTTCCATATGAATAATATAGAGTACCTTATTGATTTATATAAACACAGTTAACATTATAAAATACTAAACAACCAAAAATTGACTACACATGGTAACTATTAATCGTAATAAAACCTTACGGTTAAAGTCACTACAGTTTTTCCCATATGCAGTTGATTGCTACTAGATTTATCAGTGAAAAAGACGAAATACCCAAGTATTGTGAAAATTCGAATTTTGCCTGATTTTGACTTTTGCCAGTAATCTCTATATATTATGCAGAAAGGGTATTTTTACAATTTCGAAATATATTAATATATATAAATTAATCAAATATCAATAAAAAATTAAATGAAGAAAAAAAACTGTGAAAAACAGTTACAAGTTTTTAATTTGGTATAATTAATTATAATACCCACTTAGTATTTCGTATTGTACACAGTGTGTTGTTTTAAACACAGCTTTAGTCTTTGCCGCCTACATATAGTTACATTACTCGACTGCAGTATAAAATACTAACACTCGATTACTCGAATAACTTATATAACATTGTGTACAAGAGTTTAACTTAATATTTATTAATTTATTATATTAACAATAACATAGTAAGTGAATGGTTAATATTTTTAAATTTTGTATTGAACGATAGTAAAAACTATATTACAAAATAATATACGTTTGGTGTGTAAGACATTAAGACCATTTTTATAATAATATACTAATAGTGCAGATTTAAAAATTTCGATTATAATTTATAATATTTTTTATTAAGCTTAGGGGACTTCTAGGCTCTATAATTTAGATGTTTTTTTTTTTATATAGTTTAATAAAAACTAGAGAATATAGTTCTATTTTGGATCAAAAAATCTAAATCTAAAATTGTATTTTAAAAATATTATATCATAATATTTATAAATTTTCTATTTTTTAGTGATTTTTTTTTTAATTATTCTGTAAAAAAAAAAATTGATCATAAAATTAGAAATTCCTATATTACACTATCATTGCAAAATATTTATCAAATACTGTGTGCTTTTCCCGGTGAAAAGCTTCGCATTTATTATATAATATATCTATATTGACATTATTTACACATTTTTATAAATAAAATTTCAATAATTCCATTTTAATAAAATTGGTTCAAGTGCACATTTTGTTTTGGGTAATTTTTGTTGCATATTTGTGAACTAATAATCTATTCTAAGATCCCGAATCTACAGTTGTTCTATTCCGTACTTACCCAGAATTGCTGCATGTTTGAGTTGTTTTCACCGCGTGCTTCAATAGGCGTAGTACACGAAACCTAGTCGTGGCTTCGGGGATTTGGTTATAGCAATGTTGTGTGCTTCAGGTATACCTCGCACTGGTCGGTGGATCTTGTGTGGTCCAAATCGGTCGAGCAATATCCATTTTATACGGACACGTCGAGGCCTCGAAAACGGCAAACGGCGTATCTGGGTGGGGGCGATGTATCGTGTGTGTACGATACAATATCGTGTGCACCTCCACTACGCCGGTGTACTTAACTGCAGTCCAAGGGACATTTCCCAACACGCGTGCGGGGCCGTTCACCGCGCGCTCCCGGTTGACCTCTGCCGGGGCGCTTCGGTCTCTTTCAGCGCGCGGCCCCGCCATTGTTACTTCACGGTTCGTTCTCACTCACCCAGATTGCATCATCGCCCTCCGACGAACACGATATCACGCCCGTGCTATTATTGTCATTATCATCCTATTATACACTATATGCATACAGCTGGTATACTGCAAGCTGCAACACGCCTCTGTGGAAAAATATTTACTCATATATAGGCCTATGAACATGCACATACACATGCAAGCGCCTTTAAGCACAGACCGACATCGCTGCTGTGCATATCATGCATGCGAGTATTATTACTTTATACTTGTGTGTACGTCAATCAAAGATGTGTGCATAAACATATATAATATCATCATTATTTTATTTCTTATTGTCACAGCGCGCTGTTGTCGCGAATGCACGTCCTGTTAACCGTTCGCGGTGCGGACAGCAATCCAGTATCCGCTAACGGGAAAATATTAGCTGAAGCGAGAATTCAGGTGCTTAACGAACGCGAGACGACGCATAGGTACTATAAGTTCATCGTACTATATACATCCCATCGTGCGCATTATCGTAATGGCCAAATGCACATTGAATTATGTCAAAGAAATTGAATCATACAAATATCCTGACTGTTTAATATGCCCGTATAATAATCACGCAATGTCTTCAGTTCTTCACATCATAATACAAATACGAAATATTTAGAAAAATGTTTATTAAAACTATTCAATTGTTTAAACCCGACACGTGTGGTTTGACAGAAATTGAGTTTCGTAAAACCTATAAAAAAAAACACCACATACACAAGCACGAAACACGATGATAGACGTTAAATATTTATGTATTTTATTCGTGTACATACCTAACCTAAGCTGAAATAATGTGTAGGCACGTGTAATTTAACTTCCCCTTATGGATTAAACTGGTAAGTGGACTGACTTGATAATTGGAAGATTTCACGATATTAAGTCCTGCAACTTATTGTTCTTATCACCCATATACGTAACATATATATTTAACAATATATTGACTGTTAATCGATATTTGTTTATCCTTAAAACAATGTCCATCGATCGCCAATGGCACCACCTGCGTGCATACCATAGTTTACCTTTTATGGATCGATATTCGATATTATAATCACATAAATACCATCTCGTATGACCGGCCTATGAACCTCGTGAGAAATTGTCGTGACTCTAGGCTAATAACGACCGCTGATATAACAACAGCTAATACGAATTATTTAAGCATTAAAATTGATTACTATGTTACGCACCCGTTTATCAGACATATTGAACGGCCGAACGGGTTTGAATTAGTTGCACTTACCACAATATTTGTATTTTAGGATCAGTGTACCAGTTAATATGATCTTTATATTATACGATTGGTATACCAATTTATTAAATTTACTTTTTGAAATATTTGAAATGACCAAACGCTGTAATCGGTCAATTGATTTAAAATATTTTGAGCATAATGGGTATGTACTATATATTGAAAGGTATTTTTAATCGTAAAAGGTACATTTTCTATTTGAAAAATAATAAATAAATCATCAAACTTTCAGCTCTTGTTTGTGAAACCTCTATGATAACTCTCAACTCAAGAAATCAATAATATAAGACGTATACATAATATATTTTAGTATTTTTCTGTTTACTTAAACAAAATATCGGACATTTTTGTCAATCATAAAATAAGCGATTCTTATATATAAAAAAAAAAAATTTACTCATCAATAGAAATTATATTAAAATTGGACATTGCCTAATATATCTATTAACTTATATACTAAATAAATAAGCATACGTATCATTTAAATTAAAGATGTAACTATGTAAGTATACATAATTATTAGTGAAAAATGGAAAAAAAATATAAATTTATATCTTAGTCAAATTATATGTCGAATAAATTTATAAGTGTATATTAAAATATGGTTTACCCACAGCATCGAATTAGTAAAAATAAATGTAAAAAAAGAATAGTTTATAGACAGAAATAATGAAAAAAAAATTTTACTTTTATTAACTATTTCTAATCATTATACAGATTCAAGCAATATAATTCAAAATATTTATTTCATAATGAAATGTAAATGATAAAAAAGTTATTTTTTAATCGTTTTAATTTTAAAATAAAATACTTATTTGAAAATATTTTAACACCACATTTATTTACCACAGTCGAATAATAAAATTCATAAGGCTGGCACATACTATATTTAGTACATTTAACCTTCATTGTACACACGGCGGCGAAGTAATGATTACAGCTCACATGAAAACCAAATAGAATTTTCTGGGTAAATGATTAGGTTCTGTGTTGCTAAATCAATGTCAATTTGTGTAAATTATCTTGGACCAATTTCTCACAACATGCGATGGGAAAAATATTGCAATTATTGTGATTGTACACGAGTACGTAAAAAGTAACAGACGAAGTATATTATAGGTCGTGCACAGTTGAGCAACACGGTACATATGCATGTGTGTATTATAATTCAATTCGGAACGACCGTATACGATACCTATATGAAGGTAATATCATCGTCATTTTTATTCAATAATAATAGACTTGGAGTTTGACAAAAGTGTGAAGAAATTGTAGAAACCGCTTATACGTAAATATAAATGCTTTCCTATTGTTAGAAGCTGCAAATATAACTAGTACATTAACTATAGATAAATATGTTTTATTTAACTACTGTGTTGAAACCCGGGAGTCGTATCTTTAAATAACTCATATAAATAATATTAACTGTTACCGATACAATATGATCAGCGTGGTTTAGCTCTAATTTATTTTACTACTTATATTACTATAACTGCTCGAGTATTTACCACTTACCTATATAAGTACCTTTATAAGACAACTGCATTTTTTTGTCTATACAATGTGTAGGTGCAATTTTACAACTAAAAATATTTGTATTTTTAAACACTATAAAAATATGTGTATAATAAATGTACGATATAGACGTACCAACTCGAAATAGCGTCGGTCATTGCCTGTAATAATGCACGAAATAGATTCGCTTCGATCAGGCGAGACAATCAATGAATATTTTAAGTACTCCGCTTACACGTGCAACAGTTGACCACGTAGGCCTGAACAGCTCCTCTCTCATTTTGTCTTCGTGTAGTATCAAGGAATGTGCATTAATGTGATTTAAAAAAAAATATTAAGTATACGAAAATCGTGATGCTGTATAATACTGCAGAGCCATAGAGGTACTTATGACCGCCGAGTTCGAGAATGATTTTATAAAACTCAATGATACAGCAATAATTATTATGTAACGAGTATAATAATATTATAATGACATTATAATACCAATGGGCTGTGACCCCTGTGCGCGCGAGTAGATCCATCGACGAATGCCACGAATTATATCGATATTCTGAGGTCTTCAACCACGCATATTTTAAATGCACTGGCAACGCGGTGAAGGACATGAGATTTGTGTACAATATAATATGCGCGTGGATTGTCGATCAAAAACTAATTGGTTTTCAATTTAATATAAATTACATAAATAACGTTAATAACGTAATATTATAAATCTACTCAGGTGAAGAAGAAATACAAAATAATCGAAAATGTTTGTATATTGTCTTGTTGTACAATAATTAATATAAAGTCGGCAAATCGACATCAAAATATAGCAACAGCATGAGCTGGTATGCACAATCTTGTGTCACTCGTTTTTCTTACTCTCTCGGTATACGTACTATTTATTTGTTAATGACAGTTGTGAATCCTGTGGTCTTGGGTCCCAAATAATCATTGTGTCCTGCCGCGTAACCGGTGACGCTACCACCCGGTGATGTCAACCCCTGCATTACGTTGAACACCGCCCCCAAAAGGCTCCCTGTCGTTCCACCGATGATGCCGGTCGGGCCTGCCGTGCCCGTCGCGCCCGCGCCCGCGCCCCGGCCGCCCACGCCAAGCCCGATCAGTGCGTGGTTTACACCAATGCTATAACCGGATGGGTACTGACTACGTTGATAACCAGCCTGGTTACCACCATTGTACACGGGCATGCCTATGTAGTTTTTACTGTTGTCCACGTTTGAGTAATAGGGATACTGCTTCTGCCACTGTACCGCTGGCTGGTCTGTCGTATAAACTGGATATGACGACACCTTACTCCATAGTACAGGTTGTTGTTGCACCACCGCCGGTGCGGGCTGCTGCACCAGCACGGGATAAGGCCGAGACACTTCGACCGGTACTTGCTGCACCACTGGAACCTTGACGGCCACCTGAACGGGATACGGAACTGGCCTGTCAACCGGATACGGCGTGGGCACAGGTACTTTTACCGGGTATGGTCGGTCTACCGGTACGGCCACTTTGTAAGGCACATGCACTGCATACGGCACCGGTCGGTCCACGTGCACTGGGTACGGCAGTGGTTTCTCCACCTGCACAGGATATGGAACCGGCCGGTCCACTGGATATGGTAACGGCTTCTCAACTTGAACCGGATACGGCACCGGCCGGTCCACGTGTACCGGGTACGGCAATGGTTTTTCTACCTGCACCGGATATGGCACTGGTCGATCAACTCGCACTGGATACGGAAGCGGCCGGTCCACGTGCACCGGGTAGGGTACCGGCCGGTCATATGATACCGGGTACGGTACTGGTCGATCATATGGCACCGGTCGGTCGTAAGTCACTGGATAAGGTACTGGATACGGTACGGGTCGTTCAGATTGGTGTACCACCGCGTATCCATGCACCGGAACAGCAGATACTCCGTATCCTTGTATCGGGATATTTGAAAATCCATATCCTTGTACCGGGGTGTTCGACACTCCATATCCTTGCACTGGTTTGGTGGGCACTCCGTACGAACCAACTCCGTAGCCACCCCATCCCATTGGATTGTAATGACCGATACCTCGTTTTATTGTTTTCGATTCTCTAGTTGTGGTGGTGTGGTTACTATTCTTAACGTGATCTTCATCGAGACACCAAACATTGTTAACAAATGCCAACAGGCACATATACAAAATCTGTAGACAAAATTATGTTTGTTGTTTATGTATAAATTTAGTCAAAATAGTTCAATAGAATATAATAATGTATAATATTATATTATACATATTATTAATACGATTTGTTAATTTTTATACTGATTAGATATTTAGATATTATACTATAATATTTTTATTGTGTACTTTCAGACTTTCTTAATATGGTCATAACTCATAACTAATCATGACATGAAACTATTATAAAACATAGATTATACGTGAAAAAAATGAATATTTATCTGAATTAAAAACAATATAAGTTCGGCTTAAAGTGAAAAAACCACAGTTTTTTTCGATTCATTTTATATATTGAAACAATAATATTGATTTGTATATTTAATTTTTAACGGGAGGTGTACAACATACGCTTCAATTCAATACCATTGGCAATATATCAATAACTCGTACGCTCAAACGAAATTAATCATGACTGTTTACATAACGATAGCCTATAAGTATAGTATTGAACACAAGGAAGAATAAATAATAGTAAATTAATAGCCGAAGGTCAATTGCTAATTATTTGGGTGACTCGAGTAATACTTCACTTCACAGACAAAATTATAACTAATAAAATACTTAACGGATTAATTAACGCGCAGTTATGCTATAATCATTCAAATATGAGAACAAAAATCACGATAGCATATTTTCAAATGCCATACTAATTACTTAATTACTTAATTTGTTTTTAATCAAACGTAACCACTACTATTGTGATAAATAAAAATTTTATATTAACTTTAATTATTAAAAACCATAAAATGTGAAAACCTATTCGTCCTTAACTATTACAAAATTTAATATAACTGCAAGTCATTCTTTTATATTTCATAAAAACAATTTTAAAAATTTTAAACGTCTTAAAAATAATATTATTTTTTTTATTTTTTATCGTTATCATGTATTAAGTTTCTAATTTTATAATATAAATATACATGTATATTTAATACGTTTTTATAAAGCAAAAAAAAAATTTTGGAGTATATAACAACTTTAAAACGAGAAATTAGAATATTATTAGAAGAATAAAAAAAAAGTATTATTTTGTAAAAATATGTATCTATTTATACATGATGATAAACCAAGCATAATCACCCATTTTTGTTTTAAAAAATTCAGTTATTCAAAATTCGAATTTTAAAATTCTTAAACTTTTTGTTTTACTAAAAAAGTGTTTTTGGAGATACAAACTTCTGTTTTTCAAATAAGAGCCCTTTTTTATGTTTGTCTAATTTCAAATAGTATTAAAGAAAAAATGGATATAAGTCTGCTAAGTAAATTATACTGCTTGAAAAAGATAATATGGTTTGTAAATAGGTATTCCTTATTTTTTTTAAATAAAAAAAAGTATTAACAATTAATATGATTGGAATGCAGTGTTACAAGAGTTTTCCACAAAATATTGGACCACCTATCCTCCTCATTAATATCTTAATACTTATAATATTATAACTATAATTAATAAGTAGTCCGAAATTTAATTTTTATTTATGTTGAAATTTCCCTTATAATATTTTATTTCAAAATATGAAAAATAATTGTTGTCATTTAAAACAATAAAATACTTAATAAATTATAATAATAATAATTGAAAAAATGTTGATTGTAACGATTTAAATTTATGTAAAAAATATTTTCAAAGTGATCGTTTTATGTTTAAATTGTTTAATAAACCACATATGATATAACTATCTACTCACAAAACGTTAAGTGTGTATTAACAGTTTATTTTAAAAACAAGAAAACTAACTTATAATAATAATAATAATAAGCTAAAACTACTTAATTCTTGATTTGTTTTAATAACTAATACTTTTGGAAAAAAAATTTTTATGTTAAATATATTTCAATTAGACTAAATAAAAAAAAAAATACGAACGTTATTGTATTTATTGCAATTTCAACAGCATAAAATTAATTTAATCACACAAAATTCGTTCTTTCGTGTAAAATAAATACTACAAAAAGAAAATATAATTCACTTACTTGTAATTTCATAGTGTACGTTTCCCGATAATGTCGTTGGAAAACTACAACATTGTTGTAAAAGCGTAGGCATTATAAACAGCCACAGAATTAAGCTTTATGAAACCGTGAAAATTTCGATTTCTCGGCGGTTATGTCACCACGAGGTCCTTTTTTGTTCTTATTGAATTAAATTTGAAGGGTAAACGATTTGAGTTCTAACACACAAACACGGCATCAATAGCCATTCAGTTCTAAGCGTCGCCAAGGGTATCATCCCATAGAAGTATCCCGATTGATTCGTTACTGATGATATAATATATGCATTTTATATTTTTAATTTTATTATTTTGTTAATTTAAAATTAATTAATGGTATGGAACAATGAGTGTCACTGTTAATTTACAAGATTCTAGTTACTATAAAAATAGTCAGCCTTATAAAATGATTAATTATAAATGTGTAAGTATGTAAATATATTAATATTTTAATATTTTTTATTTAAAAAAGATTTGTTTAAACTTTAAAGTAATATGTTTATGTATAATAATATAGTTAAACATATTACTTTAAAGTATTATATGTATAATAATATAGTTATAAATAATATATTTAAAAATACCACTTTTATTTTAGCTATTTATTTATTTACTATTTATTACTTGTAATTAAAATGATATATACATATATATAATATGTTTTAACGTATTTTTTTAAATATTCTAGATATATTTTTATTTTTGAACTTTCTAAGTATAAAGAATGGTCTGTACACTATACAAAATGTTTGTATGAGTTATGTGGTATATACTGCAATTAAAAATTGACATTCAATAGTTAATATATGTTCCGGTTTATAAACCTTATAAGTCACTATTATAAGATACAAGTTTTGAATTACTTTTACGAATTAAATTCAAATCCCAGCGCCTTTTGATTGTGTAGGAACTAAGTCATGTTTTTTTTTTTTTTATAAATAAAACAAGCCATCAATGCTATTAACTATTATATCGTACCTACCTGTATAATATATTTATATATTATATAATAAATGATTATAGTTTAAATTGTAAAACAATAAATATATTTACCTAATACTTATAACATTCTAAACATTTTTGTTATTAACTAATTATAATCCAAAACATAAATAAATATAAAAAAAATTAATCGGGCTAATTACTCTCTTATATAATAGGTTTCAAGTGTACCTACCTCATAATTTATTAAAACTTATATTATTATAAATTGAATGACAGTGTTAAAATTAAAATCCATGATAAACTATTACTACACAGGAAAAACAATTTTGAGCGGAGATTTTGCCAATACTTTTAAAGATATTTTATTACATATTTAAATTGCTACCTATATGTAATTTATTTTTCCTTTAGTAATACACTAGATAATTTGATTTATTAACTAAATGTGCCAAATATAAATCATATATATTTTATTGTTGTTATATTATTTGATGTAATATTAATATCTGTTATTAATTATAAATCACTATACTGTCGTATCACTGAACAATTTGAATACGTACGTGATATGAATAAATAAAAACGATCTAATAGAAATATTTTTTAAAGTAAAATCGAATTTTTTTCATTGGAATTTGAACTTCAATAGCTTATAAAAATATGCCTAAAATGTTGTTAGAATGTTTTAAATTTCATGTATATATTTTTAAGTAATAACGAAAGAAATTATTGTAATTGTTTAAGGATAAATCATTATTTTATGTTTTGAAATATTTTTTTCATTTTATATTAAAATGTCTCTACTCAATTTATATGAATCAATATTTTATACTTATTAATACTTAAAAGTCATGAAAAATACAGACTATATATTTAAAATATACTTTAATTCCTAGAATTTTTTCTCTCTTAAATTATATACAGTTACTTCATCAAACTAGGATTTCTTGTTTAGATGGTGAAATATATTATTGATTTATGAATAATACGCTGGTACCTGTTATAATATGTGACATTTACTTGTAGCTTATATTAAAAAATAATTGAATCTAAAGCTGGCTAATAGACTAAGAATTAGTGACAGGCTCGGATTAGGCCACTGGACTACTGTTCTACAACCCAGTAGGCCGCATGCCTCAATTTCGTAATAAAAACTTGAATTTTTTAAACAATTAATGAGCAAAAGAAAAAAAGGTCTTTTTTTATATTGTATCTATGGGGCGTGTGCCTATGAGCCGCCTGCTTACTGAGAATAGTAGGCCGGTATCCACTAAATCTGGGCCTGTTCAGTGATTATTAATAATTTTTACTTTATTGTGTATGTGCAGATGAGTAAATTAATAATAATTGTATTTGTATAGTTTATACATGCAATTAATTTCAACTAAACATCCAAACATATGATTTCGATATTAAAAACCATAATAATAATAGAAGAAGAATACTTTTTATATCAATATATGTATACTTTAAACTTTGCCAATATTGATATTTTATTTCTATTAACATCTTCTATTCAATACGTTAATTATTTAATTGAAATGGTTAATATTTTTTAATTCACTTTAGGTATACACTAAACACACTCCATATATATTTAAATATCTAATGTAATCTAATGCAATCTATAAAAAGCGAGCAATCCTAACTTACAGTGATAGGTAATCATTTGAATCATTAACCAATAGCGATAAAATTCTAGGCTAAAATAAATATTTGAATACACTATATATAATATATATATATTATTTAAAAATCAAAAAATATAATTATTTTATCAAAAATAATAATCAACTATTACAAAATTTTAGTGATTATTAACCAAAAATGTTGTTTAGGTAAAAATTAAATAAAAATAAATATGTAATAAACAATAATATGCACTCTACATTAATGCCAAGAAAAAATACAACTGTTAATATTGTAAACACTTTTTACTGATTTTAAGGTCCCTAAGTTTGGTTTTATAGTAATAATAATAATTATACGGAATATATAAAAAAAGGAATTCATTTGGATCAATACAGGTATAATCATTGTTATAATAATATTATATCTATAAAAATTAATATTATATAATGATTGGTTTTATAGAAATCATAAGCATTAAGTTAATGATTTTATTGCATTTAAACCTTTAATAATATTAATTTTATTTGATTTTTTCGTAGGTGTATGTAATATATTTTGGTCATTCATTTATTTATTTAATTATTTATATAAATCATAAATTATAGCTATGCTAAAAAAAATGTAATACTATAAATATTCAGTTTGTCAGTATATAATGTAGCAGTGGAAATTCATATGATAATTACCGATTCATCGAAAATTATTTTAATAATAACAGTTATTATTAGAATAGTTACTATTCTGTCTTTAATTTAGGTATATAAATAACTACTAATTATAGTGTTATAGCATTATCAATAATTAATTAAATTTCATTAACATTTTAATACAATTATTTTATAATTCTTGTGTTCTAGTAAGCTGGGCTGTAGGTGTATCCGAAAGAATAGAATAATTGAGATTATTATGTTGTCGATATAAATAACTTCATATCCCTGCTAGTGATTTTTAATTTTTAAGGACATTTTTTTCAAAGTAATTCAATGACAAGCAAAGTCACGATATTTTATGTAACAGACTCGATTTTATTCTCTGTAAACTTCAACGATTATGAACTGTAATAACCATACTTTATTTTATAAATATTTTTATATTATATTAATATTTTAATACTGATCTTTTATTTTATAAATTATAATGTAAAGTATACTTACTATCTATACATAATGCAAACAAAAATAAAAATTATGTTTTTCGATGCATAGTTTATAATGCAGTAGCGAGTGGTGTTGTATAGTATTTAAATTCACTTTACGTCAAGGTCTTTTTGGCGTTGGATATCTAGGTGAAATTAAAAATTTATTACCTAAAGCTATGTGTTGCAATATGGAGAAGAGGCAAACTGGCCGGCCTAATTTTTTCCTATTTTCTGACTTATCAAAATTAATTTGCACGTAATATCAAGTTAGGCCTCGTTATTTAACGTCATTTGAGCATGAACAATGACCCAGCGGATGTTTCACAAGGACTGTATACAATTACGTATTGTTTTCATTACTTGCATTAATTTTAAACAAACACATAGTATATATTTTTAAACAAAATATTTTATTCAAACTGTAGTGTACAATTAATATTTTTTTAAGTATAAAAAGTATAATCTAAGTATAAAAAAATAATAATAATCAATTATAAAATAGTCTAGAGTAACTTAACACGTTCTGACTTGAGAATTGAGCGATGTCAGGAGACAAGTGCCTAAATTAATTGGAGTTACGTTTTGCAATTGGAGTCCATCCACCACTTTCGTATTTTGAGTGGCTTTCGTGTCCGTACGAGGATGATGATAAACCTGATCCGTAAGATCCATATGAAGAAGAAGGCAGAGCTGATCCGTAAGATCCGTATGAAGAAGAAGGCAAAGCTGATCCGTAAGAACCGTACGAGGAAGCAGACAGTGCTGGTCCGTAAGATCCGTACGAGGAGATACCAGATCCGTATGAAGACAAAGCGGCGGATCCGTAGCTGCTAGCGTCGTAGGCGGTAGATCCTAGACCGTATCCTCCGTATGCAGGTGCTGGGGCGGCAATAGCAATAGCTGGTTGAGGTGCTTGAACAACGACCGGTGTGGCAACCGGAACAGGAACGCGCCTGACGACTGGGACTGGTACTGGGCTGGAAACTGGTACTGGTACGTTCTGGACGACTGGGACTGGGTAGGGAGAAGGCACTGCTTGTGGCACTGGTCTGTCAACTGCGTATGGAACAGGCCTCTCGACTGGTACTGGGTATGGAGCGGCAACTCTTACTGGGTATGGTCTTTCTACTGGGTAAGGGACGGGGTGTGGCACTGGGATGGCAACGTTCCTTTGTACGGGGACTGGGTACGGAGCGGAAACGTGTTGGGCATGACGGTTGATGATGTGTATATCTTTGGAGATTGGGATCAATGGGCCGACAGTCGGTGCTGGGGCGGCAGAGTATGTAGATGGAGCGGCAACAATAGCTGCTCCACTGTATGCAGGTGCAGAGGCGACTGCGACTCCACTATATGCGGCGGGTGCAGAGGCGACTGCGACTCCACTGTATGCGGCGGGTGCAGAGGCGATTGCGACTCCACCGTAAGCTGGAGCATACGACGATCCATAAGCTGATCCACCGAGAGCGGAGTAACCGGAAGCCAATCCGGACGATAAGCCAATACTGGAGCCCAATCCCAGACCGGAACCATAGCTCAAACCGGTGTCGAAACCGTGTTCAGCGGTGATACCACGTTTTTCTGATTTGTGTGTCTTGCTGTCTGCGCTGTCGGCCCTGACGAGGGCTACGACCACAAAAGCGACTACTAAAGCTGATGTGAATTTCATGTTGACTGTTCTGCGTTGTCCGGTTGAATGATGATCTTTTGAAAACCGAATTGGCTATATATAGGTAAAGTC